ATGATTATGGACGACCGGGGGGGGGGGCAGCTGCTTTGGCATTGGCGGTGCGCGCCGCAGGCATCTGGATATCTGGACAAACCGCGGGTGCAGCTGCAGGAAGTTCTTCCTGCCCTCGCACTTCCGCTCGTTCGCCAGCGAGACCTCCGTGCTTGTTTTGCGTGCTCGGTCGCGCCCGTGTTTCATGTTGCCCACAGCCACCTGGCACTCCATCTGAGAAATGGCCCCGGCCATGTGTCTCTGGAAAACTGTGCATGGGTCCTTGTTGGTGAACAGCCCCGGGATCGAGGCGTGCACCAACTCCAAACCTCGCTTTTCGCACTCCGCGATCGCCTCTTCCTGCACCATCAAGCGGCGGGCCAACCGCTTCTCGTCGGGCACCGCGATCCGCTTGATGCCGCGCTTCTCGCGCCTGTCCACGAAGGCGGCCGCGCCCGGCCTGGACAGGAACGGCGTTGAACCTGGGGAAGCAAAAAAAACTCTACGACAAATTCGGCGTGCGATTTTGCAGTTATTCGCCGCGGGGGCGGTGGAAACATGAAGGCGGGGGGGGCGCTTGCTGTAGCAATTGCGTAGTGTAGCGTCTGGCGCGCTAACAAATCCAGGGTTTCGTGCCGATGGGCGATGTTACCTTCGGAAGAGGACGCGACGCGCCACATTCCTCATCCAATGCCCCTGCGGTGTGTGGGGGCGTTGTGGCCCCGCCGTCCTGGGACGTTCTTCAAGACGAGCGTTTCCTGGACGGTGGGGGGGTGCCGCGCCCATGATAGCGTGTCCAGAAAAAAGCTGCCCCCGCGCTGCTTGAGCCCCGAAAAAACAACGAATGGCTACAGTTGGGTGGTCCACGCTTACTTCCTCCGGTTGCCGCGGGCCTCCCAGGGATCCCCGCCGGCCCCCGCTGTCAGTCCGCCGCAGTCTATTTGTGACTTCTGTCGGGCGACACGAACCTCCCCTGGGCCGTCGCCCGTAGGCTGCACGTACTTCCGCGGCCTCCTGCGGGCCGTCGGCCGCAGGCTGCACGTACTTCCGCCGGCTGCCGCCGACCTCCCGCCAACGTCTGTTGGCAAGAGCGTCCGCCTCTCCGCCAGCTCTGGCGGGCCCTCAGCCGGCGGGCCCCGCCTACTCCCGCCGACTGCCGCCGACCTGCCGCTTGCTCCTGCCAGCGCAAGAGCCCCCCCTTCGAACGGCCCCCACGGACCGTCGGCCAACTTCTGGCGCCGGCCGCCGGGCTGTGCCAGAAGTCGGTCCAGGACTGACTTCTGGCGCGGGCCCGCGTCGGAAGTCGGTCCTGGACCCACTTCCGACGCGGGCCCGCGTCGGAAGTCGGTCCAGGACCGACTTCCGGCGCGCCCTTCTGTCTCCGCCCCAACCCTCGTCGGCGCCGTCGCCGGCGTTGCCCCTGCCGCCCTCTAGCGTTTTCAAGCCTCGGCGGGGGCCGCGCCCCCCCTCGCGCGTCCTCCTTCCTCCTCACTGCCCCCTCCCCCAGTTTTCCTCCTCGCCCCCCTCCTCGCCCCATTCCCCCCTTCCCCCGCATCCCCATCCACCGCCTAATTGTATTCCTCCTGCTCCTGCTCCTGCTCCTGCTCCTCCTTCCCTCTCCTATCTGCCGCGCCTGCGGCGTTCGGGCACCGCGCAACATATGTTTGTTTCGTTTTCTGGCGCCCGCGCCATGCCTGCCAAGATGAAGGCGGCTGCCACGACACGCGCGTCGACGATGACGAACGTGGATGGCGCCAGCGTGCCGCGGCAGAAGGCGCAGATAACGAAGGCGGCCAGGGGCGCCCCCCCACCGCCCAGGAAACGCTCGTCTTGAAGAACGCCCCAGGACGGCGGGGCCACAACGCCCCCACACACCGCAAGGGCATTGGATGAGGAATGCGGCGCGTCGCGTCCTCTTCCGAAGGTAACATCGCCCATCGGCGCGAAACCCTGGATTTGTTAGCGTGCCAGACGCTACGCAACGCAATTGCTACAGCAAGCGCCCCCCCCCCGCCTTCATGTTTCCACCGCCCCCGCGGCGAAGTACTGCAAAATCGTACGCCGAATTTGTCGTCGATTTTTTTTTGCTTCCCCAGGTTCAACGCCGTTCCTGTCCAGGCCGGGCGTGGCCGCCTTCCTGGACAGGTGCGAGAAGCGCGGCATCAAGCGGATCGTGGTGCCCGACGAGAAGCGGTTGGCCCGCCGCTTGATGGTGCAGGAAGAGGCGATCGCGGAGTGCGAAAAGCGAGGTTTGGAGTTGGTGCACGCCTCGATCCCAGGGCTGTTCACCAACAAGGACCCATACACAGTTTTCCAGAGACACATGGCCGGGGCCATTTCTCAGATGGAGTGCCAGGTGGCTGTGGGCAACATGAAACACGGGCGCGACCGAGCACGCAAAACAAGCAGGGAGGTCTCGCTGGCGAACGAGCGGAAGTGCGAGGGCAGGAAGAACTTCCTGCAGCTGCACCCGCGGTTTGTCCAGATATCCAGATGCCTGCGGCGCGCACCGCCAATGCCAAAGCAGCTGCCCCCCCCCCGGTCGTCCATAATCATTATAGTCACCACGGTTTTTCTTTGGCGCAGTGCCAGGGCCACGCGCGCCTAGACACACGCCTGTTGCAGTTGCTCCTGCTCATGGTCCTCCTCCTTTGACGGGCCACGAGTCTCCCCAAATCGTCCCCTTGTTGCATGTGCAGTTACCGCAGACATGTGTAATCGATCCCGCGTCGTACCATATCTTCTCACTCCACATCCTGCGGCGCAAGTTTGAGCAAAGTTTCTCGTCATTCGGCCGCCCAGGGCGGCGACCTCAGAGCGGGGGGGGAAATAACGAATTACCCAACACACACAACGATGGACTGCACAGGCGCGCGCTGCAGTAGTTTCGCGGAGCTGCTAGGCACAAACTTGAACAAATACAACAACTTAAACAAGTGCCCTTTTGCACGCGCCCCTGCCTCTGCCGATGAGGAGGGCAGGGGGGGCACGATAGCTTGCTCGGCGCGGCGCCGAGTTGTCAAACCCTTCACATGCCGCGGATTCGGCGCGGGCCAGCCTGCAAACGCAGCACGTTTCACATGTGACGGACTCGGCGCGAACCTGGGGATGCCTTCGTGGGCGGCAGCCCCAGCAGCGTGCAGTAGCAACGGTAATTGGTGGGACAAAACATGTTGGCTCTTTCGGTTCGAGACGCAACCTCTAGTTCCAACTAGCCCAACAAAAGACACCCGCGCGCTTAAAGGCCGAGCTCGGGCTGCATGTGAAGAGGCACGGAGAAGGCTCAAACGCCCTTGGCTCGTACCGCCTACTGCAGGGCAGAGTGGGAAGGAGGATCAAGCGCCACTTGCCCTGGCACCCCTGAGCGAAGGCCGCGTTGCGCGTAATCATACCTTCCAATGGCGGGCGCGCCAAGCTGCTAGTTTGACGCCGAAACTATTTGAAACCCGCGCGCGGCCATTTTCAAAACCACCATGAACCATTTTCAACTTCAGCACCGCACGGCCCGCAAGCGGCCTAGAACCATGAGAAAACCATTTTCATCATTCTTAATCTGATCCCCGACATGCCCGTGACCCTATCCAGGCGCCATGGGGCG